CTGACACTGTAATCAAAACACACTGAGGTACAATTGACAATGCAAAAAAAAAAAAGATCTCCTGAAATAAGTCATCAGTTCTTAAAAAGGCATAAATATAGATCATAAATTCCTCAGTTGGAGCATGATAACATAGACTATGTATGTGAAATATACATGGCTTCATATACTGAGGAATTTCTCAAATATTTTGTAAAATCAGATTGTTTATCTGAGAAAATTGGCTAAAGTATGTTATTTCCATTTTTTCTTATGTTTTTCATACATACACATGTGTGTTTACTTTTATGTTGTAAGCTTACGTAAGGCTTTTCTAAGCAAACCATTGAAAATTATCCAATTACATATACTATGGTAAAACCATTAGGAAGTATAAAAGTGAAAGTCTCCATCACTTTGTTTTCTGCTAGAACAAAAATGATGCCCATTTTATTGATTGATGGTGTTAAAGGCTTCCATTCTTCCAGTCAGCAACTCACCAGCCGTAAAAGTGAGAGAAAGTCCTGTTTTAGCTTCCTGTTTCCCCAAATCAGGACAAATGAATGACCTGAAGGATAGAGAACTTCAAGGACCTGGACACATAGGACTATTGGATCATTTGGCACACCAATAGAACTCCAAGCTGAGATGACTTGAGCCATGGTGTAAATAGCAAAAAGCAAGAGAAAGGAGATGACAGTTTGCATGGCTCTTATGTGGACCTTGGTGCTGGGATCTTGGGATCCTTTGCCACTGAACTGCATGTGTTTCAGATGTTTCCACAAGGAAAAAATTAACAGCACAAAACAGGTCAGGGACGTAGTAAAGGGTATGATGTTTGCTAATGTGTATAGAGCCATATTCGTAACATAGTTGATGTCCTTGAAGTAAAGTTTCCTTCATATTCACTCACCCACATATTTCCAGCTACCTACCACTGCAAGATGAAAAACTAACAAGACCAAAGCTCCCAACAGTATCATGAGAATTACTCTTTTAACTTTCCTCTTTAAGTGAAGAAAAAGAAGGTTAGAGAAATTGGCTATCTTGAGCAAATAAAACACGCTGAGGCTAGTAGCAAGCCAGAGGCTAAAGTGGTTACTTATTATCAAGGCTACATAAACATTAAATCTTACTTCTACACTATATAAAGCTGGATTAAACATAATTACATACCAATATATGCCTAGTACCCAGACCAAACCAACCCTGGAGACCGCCAAACCAGTAAGTATTCCATGAGCTGTGGAGATCTTTTGTCTCTTGACCCAGTCAATGCAGTTCACCAGTGCTATGAAGACATTGGCAAAAT